GCAGCTAACAACAATCACGGCGAACGTTCAGCACCCAGTTGTGAGCAGTAAAGCCCGTGGCTGCAGAGTGGATTCTGACGGCGTATGACCCCGCCCTTCAGAGCAGGGAACGAAGCTGGCTTCTCGGAGCAGACTGCTACAGTGTTCTCCCGTGGAGTGGCCAGTGGGCTGGCTCGTCCAACCTGGTGAGCAGTCAGCCTGTTAACCAACCATCTTTCGTGTCAGCTGTTCACAAGCACAGCATAGCTCGGAGCTCTGCAGAGAGGGTGCTGTCTCCCCATCCCTAAAGTCCTTCTGCCCCCCGTGTCCATCCTACTGTTTGGCCCGTGCCAGTTTTGACTGACTTTGCAGTTGTTGCCGATGGTCTGTTTGTTTAAAGCTTTTATTGTAAATTGGGTGACGGCTGCTGGGCAAATCAGCTTTCCATTCAATAGTTGGTTAAGTTTCAGGGGCCTTGAGTGCAGTCCAGGCAAAGCAACATCACTTACCCCCTTCCTGTCCCCATTCCTTCCTCCCTCCTAACCCTTCTGAGCCTTGTCCTTGAGTGAACAGTCACAGCGCATGTGACCTATGACGGGTGATTATTTGAAGGAGCATGTACGTCCCTAGGATTATTGTCACCCCTCTTTATTCTTTGGTTGAACATTGAGCTGCGGAGGGTGACTTCAGTTGCACTCATGAAGGGTTACAATGAGTCGGGGTCTCAGGTTGGTTCTTGCCTCTGGCCTAGGTCAGGGGTGTGGCATATCGGGACCTTGGGCCCCGTCTGGCTACATCATCAATCCCAGAAAACGTCACAGGCCTCACCAAAGAGAAGCAGTTCCAGCCATCCCATGTAAAAAGCCACAAAACCTGCCCGGCCCCAATCCCAACTACTTGCCGTGGACAGCTGCCCCTCCCCCCAGAAGAACTGACTTCAGAGGACAGCACTGAAGCTGCAGCTCAGGGAGAGGGACATGTCTGATCAGAGCACACAGGAGCAAATGAAGGGGAGGAAGAGAGAGTGGAGCACA